CCTACTTCCGTAGTGATACTGCCTCGGAAACCCAAGGAGGGGTCGCTATGAGTCGGGGCCGACTCGACGGCACATAACAACAACAACAACAACAACATTGAGTTGGATACAACTCATACTCACCCTATGTACAACAGAACTAAACACTGCCTGATTCTGTGCCATCCTTAAAAATTGTTGCTATGTTTGAGCCCTTATTGAAGTCACTGTGTTACTCCATCTTGTTGAGATTCTCCTCTTTTTTTTTTTTTTGGCTGACCCTCTGCTTTACCAAGCATGATGTCCTTCTCCAGGGACTTGTCCCTCCTGATCACACTTCCAAACTCTATGAGATTGAAGTCTCTCCATCCTCACTTCTAAGGAGCATTCTGGCTGTATTTCTTCTAAGACAAATTTATTCATGCTTCTGGCAGTCCATGGTATCTTTAGTATTCTTCAGCAGCATCATAATTCAAATGCATCAATTTTTCAGTCTTATTTGTTGTCTAGCCTTCACATGCATATCATTTAAATGTGATTACACTTATGGCACATCTCAATTTGGACTAGATACATTTCAAATGCTTAATAGCCACATACGGCTAGTGGCAATCATATAGGACATAACTTATGGTCTAGCTGTGGGATGTGCTAATCTCCCACTCGTAGCTTGTAATTGCTTTCTACTTCCACAGCTAGAGCCTTTGGCTATATGGTTCTTGCTCCCTAAAATGCACTTCCATGCTTTATTATTAAATTCTTCCCTCTACTCCTCGGAAGGAAGATGGGGCAATCTACTTCCATAGTGATATACTGCCTTGGAAACCCAAGGAGGGGTCGCTATGAGTCGGGTCCGACTCAACGGCACATAACAACAACAACAACAACATAGAAAGGCATTATAGTAGTTAAGTATATCAACTTTTGGAGTCAGACATGATATGGCTTTGAAGTCCTTCTGTACCACTTAATTACTCTGTATTTTTGTGGCTCAAAGTCTTGAGTCTTCAGTTTTCTTTTATATAAAAAGTAAAGTAACTCGATGCTGTCAGGATTAAATGAAATAATGTATATAGAATACTTAGCACACTGCCCGACTCATAAAAATTGCTCAGCAAATGCCATATCATCATTATCATCTGTTACAAGTACACAGATATAACTTAGTACATAGAAGTATTATTGTGGAGTCAAATAGACTTCAGGTGTAATCATGATTTAATCTCTTAATTACTCTCTGGCCTGGTTTAAGTTATTAACATCTCTGAGCCTAAGTTTCTGATCTGAAGTATTTTAACAATATCCTAAAAACAGAGAGTTGTGAGAATTAAATATGTTTTGGGCAACTATTTTAATAAATGTTATTTAACAGATGTTGTAATCTTTCCTTTTGGGAAGTTAACTTTTATAAGCTTTATCATCCTCATTTATAAAAAGGAAAAATAAAGCATAAATTACAGACTGTAAGGGATATGAATAAAATATGAAGCACATCTAACACAGTTACAGTGTAGACACTCAAGAAATGCTAGCAATTATTACCTCTCTTCATCCTTCAAGACTAAGTTCAAATGCCGCTTTCTTGAGTGAGGCCTTTAATGACCTTACCAAGGAAATTTAGTTGATCTCTGTTTTCTCATAGTACTTTATATATACCTTTGTCAAAATCTTAAAAACAAATAGACAGGTTTGGGCTGAGAGTACTTTGAAGGATTTTCTTTTCCCCTGTTTTATCTCAGGCGTTTACTGCCACGTCTGACATGTAGTATTTTAGGCATTTTTCTAAGTTTTTTGATCTAATCCTCAAAAGTAAAAATGTGTGTGTGTGTGTATATATATATAAT